TGAGTGCGCCCAGCCCAAGCTCCCTCAGCCGGCAGGAGCACAGGCACTGCCCAGGTCCAAGTCCCAGCCTGGCCACTTCCTGGCGGCTGTGTGGTTTAGGAAAGTCACTTCACTTCTCTGTGCCTCCATCTCCTCATCTACAAATTGGGATGGACAGCATCTGCCTGCCAGGGTGGCTGTGAGATTTAAGTGAGACAGTACAAGGGAGGCACTTAGACCAGGGCTGGCGCACAGGGGCCATGGCCCGGCAACCACTAAGGTGGCACAGAGAGCAGGTCACTAAGGCTGCCCAGGCCCACACTCTCCTGAGGCAGGCGGCCTCCCAACCGCAGCTCAGACAGGCAGGCACTCACCTATCAATCTGTAAGCGTGGGGACAGAGTGCCCGAGCACAGGGACAGCCACACTAGCTGTCAGAAAGGCCTGGGTTGCTTTTCTAACAAATTCTCCCACTCACAGGACGATCAGGCAGCAGCCCGGGCAGGCAGGGATGCACAGGCTGCCCAAATTCTCGATTGGCACAAACTGCACTCACCACCCCCAAGGTGTTCTCCCAAAACCACTGTGAGACATCTGACCCGCATCCGCCCCTGGGCCAGACCAGGTCAGAGAGGAAACTCGCACCCGGCCTCTGTCCTGGCATTGAAGATGCCAGGCAAACCCAAACCAAGAGCCAGAGGCAAAAGAACCTGGGAATCATGCCTGGGTGTGCGGGCAGGGGAGCTGCCAGGCCAGGGAGCAGGCACACACCCAGCCCTGGCACTCGGTCGTGACCCTGCAGAGGCCAGGGTGGCAGGGTCACTCTACCAAGTCATCAGCTACACAGAAGGCTGGGCCACTGCTTGCAGCCTGGAATCCTGGTACCCTGACTGCCTCTCAGGCTAGCAGCCAACACTCACTGATTTAGCTTTAGCTGAGAGGCTGGGCGACTTGCCCATGGTCACCCAGCTGGTAACAGGGGCCTCTCCCGAGGGCTGAGGCACTGATCTTGAGGAGTGGGCCTGAGGGACAGCAGGACAGGAGGACAGGGACGAGAGCGAGTACACACTGAGGCAGGGCGGGGCAGAGGAGTGTGGTGACAAGAAGGCCCCCAGGAGCGTGTGCACCACCAGCTGCATGTTACAGACAGGAACTCGAGGCCAAGAGAGAACACTCCAGCAGCAGGGGGGAGGCTGGGCCCAGAAGAAATCAGAGCTGCCCCCCTCAACCCCACTCCCTGCTCCCCAGCAAGGCTGCCACTCAGTGCCAAACCAGGGCCTCGGCCCCACTGACAGATGCATCTCTACCTGTCAAACCAGTTTTGGGACTGAACACGCAGCTCAAGTTTCCACGAGAATAGACAGTATGGCCTTTCTACCCCCTTGGATCTACACTTGAAAATACCATGCCACTGCCGCCTGCCCTCAAAGCTCAGGTGGCCAGAGAAAGTCGGGTCACAAGAGGGTAGGAAACCCCGCCACACTCCAGGACTGCTGATCAGGAAGCCGGAGCAGTTCATGGGCAGGACGGGAGGGTGGGGACACGTCCCCGTGTCATGTGCCCTGATCCCGAGTTCCTCTCACACACCAGCCCTGCAAACCCCACACAGTGCAGCTGCAAGTGAGAGGCTGGCAGAACCTCAGGTTATTCCTGCAGCGTGCTCTGGAATGGCTCCTGCCGCCATGCCGGCTGTGGTCCTCAAAGGAGCTGGGGCTGCAGCTTCTATCTCTCATGGTGGGGTGCGGCTGGCCAGCGGCCCTCCCCTGGCACCCACGTGCCCAGCCTGGCAGCACCAAAGCAGCCTCTTCCGTCACGACTTCCACCCGCCTCCTCGCCGAGCTTCACTTCCCTCCCCACACACCTGGCTCTGCCTCTCAGCCCCCACAGTCACCCCTCCTCTCAGCCTGGGTGGTCTGCAGGGCAGAGACGCCAGCCCTGTTTTACAGAGGGAAACAAACCATCCCCAGTAAGAAGCCACAGAGACCAGGGGGTCGAGGCTGGCCTGCAGGCCTCCCCACCAGGGCAGCTCCGCCCCTCTGTCACAGCCTTCGCCATGGCTCCTGGAGGTGGGAAGGAAAGAGGAACGGGACGGACTCAAACCCACTCTCCCACTGCCATGGAGGGGCACCAAGGAGACAGGTAATAGGGTACGCAGTGACCACTGTGAGGATACGGGCAGGTCCCCAGGGTCGGAACTCTGGCAAACGGGGGCCAGCCCGGGACCCTCCTGCACCTCCCAGCCTAGGCAACTGCTCCAACTCCACCTCCACTGAGAGGCCAACGGCTTCCGGGGGACGAGTCTCCCTCAGTTCAGATATGCCAGCTTCTCTGTCACCTCTTAGCCCGGGCTGAGGTCACACCTCCCAGCAGGGCCCGGCAGACTCCTCCGTCACTCCATCACCCTCCCATTCACCCCGTGTGCTGCCCAGGCTCGCAGACCACCCCAGCTCCCAGCCCTGCTCAGGACTGACTGCTCCCTACAGGCCCCAGCACCCACTGCCCACCTGCTCCTTGTCCTCCTTGGGTGGAGACTGTCACCGGCTCCTCCTCGGTGATGACAGGCCCTGTTTTTCTGCCCTGCAAATCCCACTGTCTAAAATCACTGATTGGAAAAGACCTCCACCCCTGCCCCAAGATAACTCCCTCACTGCCAGGCCCTCACCTCAGGCAGCAGGGGGCCCGCTCTTCCATCCGGATCAGGTCATCAGCCCCCCATTCCTCCTGGGGTGAGCCCTGCCCATCCTCCCTGCCCAGGAACCCCCACCTAACATGTCGCCTAAAGCGGGAACAGACCCTCCTAGGGATAACATCCTGCCTCCCTCCAATGCCTGTGCTGCCTCTCCAAGACCACCCATGAGAAACAGCAGCAGGTCCCCAACCTGCTGGAAGCACTGCTTCTTATGTGGCAAGACACAAGGGCTATCCTAATTCTCACAACCAAGAAATAAGCACCTCCATTAGCAGAAAAAGAAAACAGGGGCTCAGAGATGAGAAACAGCTCCCACAAAGTCAAATGTCTCCTGGGAACCTGAAGACCAGAAACTTTCCCCACAACCCATGGCAAACTCTCCAACCGCACTCACCGCTGGCCCTCCAGACACCACCACTACACTTCTCCTCTCTGCTGGCCCCTAAAAGGACCAATCTAGCTTTAAAACAACTGCAACTTCACCAAGGCTCACCCTGGCCAGCCCTTTCTTGTACATGATTTTATTTAGTCTTCTTGTAAGCCCTGTGCCATGGGTACTGCCACCCACTTTACAGATGGCAAAACTGAGCCTTGAGACACTCAGATAACCATACCAATGTTGCAAAGTAGGTAACCAAGTGGAAGGGTCAGGACTGCACCCACAGCCTCTGCTCATAACCACCCTGCTCTACCTCTCTAGGCCCTTCCCCTTCCGACACTGCACTCCCTGGACTGGATACTAAAGCCAGAGCCCATTCTAGCTTTTTCTTTCTAGTCCTCCATGCCTGCCAACCCCAAACTGACCACCTAGCCCTGAGGTCTGGAGTCCAAGTCCCAAAGCCAAGAGTCTTAAATTAACCACTCTCTCTCTGACAATAACGAGCCAAACTGGCATTTATGGCCGACTCCCTGTATGTTGTTTCCAGCGACCACATTTTCCACCCTCACATCAAAGCGAGCAATTCCTCCAATGCCTACGACTGGCAACAGTACCTCCCTTTTCCTGGGCCCAGCAGATCAACTTCTGTACAACCATGGCCAGCCGATGCCCTCTCTTCACAGGCTCTGCTCCAGCCAAACTGGCAGACTCTTCCACACAGATGGGTGCAACATGGCCGTCCATCTCCTTCTCTGCCCTCCCAGCCCTGGGGGTCCAACACACCCCTCCGGTTGCCCTTTCACCTCCAACACTGGCCCAATCCTCTCTCAGGGGCCTAGAATCCATGCACCACAAGCCCCTCTCCTGACTTCTCCAATGCTATCATTTCCTACTGACCAGAAATTCCAATTCCTGACTTCAAAACATTCCCCAACTTGTTTCCAGGAAAGAAAAAGGGGACCCTTCTATAGCCAGGCCCCAAAGTTCCTCTGCTCCTGAATCACGGACGATCTTCTGCTTCCCTTTTGCAGGGAGGAGGAGGCAGCAGGCAGTGGTGGACTTTCCTTTGATTCCAAGACCTAACACTGCCCGTGATTAGTTCCCCCAGCAGCAAACTGACCACAGTCTCTTGCTCCTTCTCTGGGAATTTGACTCCCTTTTCTTTTGGGGGGGGGGTGGTTTGAGGCAGGCTCTCCCTTTGTAGTTCAGGCTGGCTTTGAACTCATTAGGTAGCCGAGGCTGGCCTCGAACTTGCATTGATCCTCCTGCCTCAGCCTCCCGAGTGCTGGGACTACAGGTGTGCGCCACCATGCCTGGCTTTTGACTCCCTTTTCTAACCCCAGGATTTACCAATTCCTCTATAGCCACAGCCCGGATTTATTCCTGTTTCTCTTTCAGCCAAGAAAGTGATCTGCATGACCACCCCTTGTCCCAAAGCTTGCACACAACGACTTAACCTCTTGACACTTCTGTGGTCCCATTAAACTCTCCCAACAAACTTTTCTGGGCCAATGTTGACCCACTCTTTCTCTTCAACTGGTCTTTCCTTCTTTAGGGGAACTATGAACTCAGGCTGCCACCCTCGAAAACCATCCGGCTTTAACTGCCTATCGTTTTAAATCTTGTTTTTTTGGGGGGGGGGGGTAGGTACCGGGGATCGAACTTGGGACCTTGTGCTTTCGAGGCAGACAGTGGAACCACTGAGCTAAATCCCTAGCCCCTGCCTATCGTTTTAAATCCTAACACGGTCATCCTCAGCGTCCCAGAGAGGGTACAGAAACCCAATACTTTCCACCTTCCCAATTCTATAACCATTCCCTCTCTAAAAGCCTCCAACTCTAAACGACCCATTGTGTCCTTAAAGCAACACTAGGTGCAATGCATTGCGCGCCACCTCCGTGCCGGGCCTGTCCGGCTGCCCCTCGAGCCGCCCCCGCGCCCCCACCGTAGCTACCATGTCTCCAGGGGTCTTTGGGCTCCACTGCTCCGGATACGATGTCCTCGTCCGATGGAAATGTGACGCGCTTGGCTGCAGCCTTGAGGCGCCCGTCGGCCGGGGGCGATGAAGGGCTGGGAGACTCGGCCTCAGCGGGGGCCTCCTCGGCGTCGGCTTCGGCTTCGGCTTCGGTTTCGGGGTCGGCGCCCAGCTCGGGCGGCGCCTCCTGCGGCGGGATCTCCATCGCCGCCGCCGCCTCCTCACGGGGGCCCCGGGGACATGCCCCGGGCCCCGGACTCGTCTCTCCGGGCCCACCCGCCGTCCCGGGGCATGGGCTCCGCCGCTGCTTCAGGCGCCGCCTCCGTCCCCTCTCCTGGTCGTTGTCGTCGTCGCCGGGAGCCCAAGCGCGCCTCCGCCGAGCCCGTGCGTGCCTGCTCGTTCGTAGTCGCACTTTCGCTAGAGGCCGAAGAGTCTGTAGCGTATTAAGAAAAACGTAAAATCGATATAAGCTATTTTCAGGGAGACATGCCTAGCGTGAAACATGAAGAAGAAAACAAAGAGCCGAAGGAAGCACGGAAAAAAGAAACGTGAGCAGCGAATCTGCAGAGCCGGAACTGCAGAATACAAGGGGCGGAACGAGGTAGACGCTGTCTCCTAGAGCAGCGCGCACGCGCGAACCTGAGCCGCCCCGCCCCCTCCAGCCCCGCCTCCACCTAGGTAACTATGTTCAGACTGCCGCACATTCGTCACGAGCTCAAGTCACGGGGAGGAGAATGGGGTTGATAGAATGAAAACATATGTTGGCCTGGGGCTACGCCAACTGGCGAGGAGGGATTAAATGGATAGAGACGTGGAAAGGAAAGGCGAAGGGGGCTCCGCTGAATATATGTATACGTACAGGTGACGGGTGTTGACAGAGGGATCCTGTCCGGACACTGAATCCGCTGCTGTCTTTAGTCTAGAGTCTAGCCTTAGATTTGCGGACTGCAGTTTCATCAGCAGTTCTAGGTATCTTGGCAGCGCTGCATAAAATCTAAATTACAGGGCCGGGGATTTAGCTCAGTGGCATAGCTCCTGCCTGGCAAGCGCGAGGTCCTGCGTTTGATCCCCGGTACCAAAAAAACCCCCCAAAATCTAAATTACAATATTAAAATAAATGCCAGTTCGTGAGGAGTATCCTATACCTGAATTTTTTAAAAATTGGGAGAAAGAATTCCCAAAAGGGGGAGATGAATCTGCCGATCCAAACAACGAGCAATGAAGGTAGATCACCAAACCTGGACGAACCTGCGCAAGTGCAAGCCACGCCCCCAGGGCACAAGTCAATCGCTCAGGTTTCGTTTCGGCACTTTCGCTATGCTTTCCCAGCCCACAGAGCCCCCACCGTGTGGTTGAAACCTTAAAAGGGGCTCGGGGCGGAGCAAGCCACCACGTTGCCAAGGCAGTCGGAGAGCTAGACCTGGAACTCGCCAGAGGTGGCGTAGTGAATGGACAGATGGGGCATCTGAAACTATCTGATTCCCGCATTCAACATCACCCCGTTTTCGCGACTAAGAAAACAAATGTCTTTTATTCTTAATGGAAGGCTTCACTTAAATTCCGGACTTGAAGGGACTAAATAGGGGACAAGAAGCCGGGTGTGGTGGCGCCTGGAGGCTGAGACAGAAGGATCTCCATGAGTGCCAGGCCAGCCTTAACCACAAAGCGAGACTCTGTCTCAAAAAAAAGCAAAAAACCTTTCTCTTCAACAAGGGACAAGAACTTTTTTTTTTTGGTACCGGGGATCGAACTCAGGACCTTGAGCTTGCCTGGCAGGCGTGGGCGCCACTGAGCTAAATCCCCGACCCTCTTAAGAACTATTTTTAATATCATCTGCTGGATGATACTAGCGACGGGATAAAATGAAGCATGTATGGACTGCCTCATTACAAAGCCAGAGGGCAATGGAGGTAGGGCAAAGCTTCACACTAACCACTAATCTCTGCTTTTCCTTGTTGCCCCCCCCCCCATTCTCTCCACGTGGAAGAATGCGAATCAGCTGACGGCTGAGTGTGGTCCACACCTCTCAACAGTGGGATCCCAGAAGGGACACCTGTGCGTGACCATGTGACCCAGCGTGAGCCACACTCCTTGGCTTAAAAAGCTCCACCCCCCACCCACCCAAACTGCCAATGAGTCCAGCTCTCCCCTTGAGAAGTTGAGGGGGCCCCAGCCCCTGTGGGAGATCAGTGGGCCCAATCCTGCACAGTATCCAGATTCCTCACCATCTCTGCCCAGCCCCACCTGATCCTGATCCTGGATAACCACCCTACCACCTTCCAAAGAACACTCCGTCTCTCAGCCAAGCCAGACATTTGAAAAGAAAACCAAGAGTCGAATTGTGTTGGGATGATTGCTTCTTTAACAGGAGAGGAGCACTGGGGAATTTTGCAACCTCTTGAATACAGTTCCCCATTCTACAGTTTGCCTTCCTTCATCCCCACCCTCTGCCCTGTCTTCAAGAACTGGTACCTGGCCCATATTCGGTAGAGTTCAGAGCTCTGTGAGGCAGAACAGTCCTTTTGGTGGCATCAGAATTCCTGGGGCTGCAGTTTTACTGAGTAGACCCTGTGGAGGTCCTCAGCAACCACAAATGCTTGGAGCTTCACTAGAATTCCAAGGGAGCCCAGAACTCCTTAGGCCTGAGTTCCTGGTCAGGAACATTTGGAAGGAAGCCTGGGATACTACAGCTAAACCCACAGCAGAAGGGTGAACACAGTAATGTCTTCATGGCTCGAAGGTGTAAGAAATAATGTCACTACATCGAAGTAGAGCCTCTGCCTGCACACCTATGGGAGTCTGCAGCTGTGACACATAGAAGTTGGCCACGTCCAGGTCGGTGGCTCCGAAGTGGGCGGTCACATGCACACCCTCGTGCAATGTGAAGCTCACCTGGCGACCCACCATGGCCAGCAGGCTGTGCAGGTATCGCTCCCGAAGGGCAGCTCGGGCACACTGTTCCTGGGATTCCTGAGATTGTTGACCTACAGGACACTCTTGGCTTCCAGGTGTTTCTGGCTTCAGATGGGCCCTTCGTCCATCAGGGGCAAAGCCTCGGCTCAAGCCATCAGGGCCACGGGGGAGCCGGAGCACCGGCACTGGAACAGCCAGAGGAGTCTGCATTTCGTCAGCTGTTCAGTGAGAAAGGACAGGGAGCCATTAAGTGGGGCGGTGAAGCTCCAGGAGGGAGGGAAGGTGCTGCTCTTCCCAGCATCTCATTGAACCTGTCCAAAATGCTGATTCCCCTCCTAAAATCTTCACCATCCCTCCCCGGGTACTGGTAACACCATTTCTGCAGTGGTTTGGACCAGAATCAAAGTGTCACACACACAAAGACAGAGGCTCTACAGAGGCAAGGACTTTTGTCTGTTTTTAGCATGGCTTTATCCCAGGTAGGGGCAGTAAGTGCCAAAAAATAAACCCACTCCACCTCACCTACACACAGTCCATCAGTAGATCTCCTATTCCAAAAAGATTCCCACTCACACAGGAGCCCGCTGGAAAAGGTGCTGCTGGCCAAATCTAGAATGATTTGAAAGTAAAAGTAATGAAAAGCATAAGCTGGACCTAGTGGCACACACCTGCAATCCCAGCATTCAGGGATAAACCAGGAAGATGGTGAGTTTGAGGCCAGCCTGAGCTACACAGCAAGACCCAGTCTCAATGTTAAATTTTTTAAAAGATTTTTTTTTTTAGGGCTGGGGATGTAGCTCAGTGGTAAATGCTTGCATAGCATGTATGAGGCCAAGGTTCGTTTGGGTTTTTTTGGTACCAGAGATCGAACTCAGGTCCTTGTGCTTCCATAGCAGACGGCAAAACCACTGAGCTAAATCCCTGGCCTGAGGCCAAGGTTTGATCCCCAGCACTGCAAAATAAATAAATAATGCAACCTGGGTGTGGTGGCACATGCTTGCAATCCCAGCACTCAGGAGGCTGAGGCAGGAAGATCGCCACAAGTTCAAGGTCAGCCCAGGCTACACTCTGAGTTCAAGACCAGTGTGAACTACATGAGACCCTGCCTCAAAAAACAAAAGAAACAGGGCCAGGGATTTAGCTCAGTGGCACCGCACCTGCCCCACAAGCACAAGGTCCTGAGTTCGATTCCCAGTACAAAAAAAAAAAAAACCAAAGAAACAAAAAACACAACACAAAACAAAACAAAACCAATTACCAAACTCAAACCGAGGGACATTTGACCAAAGAGCAATGACAAAAACTAGGGTAGACTCCTAAAAGACACCAAAATACCACAAAAGACAAGGGCTTAGAAAAACACAGATGAAAGCCATCCATACCCTAACACTTCTCATCCCTCCACCCTGGGCAACCTGTCACTTCCTGCATGCACTCAAGTCAGTGCGGCATTGGGTTCTGGCCAGAGGTACCCTGCCACCTCGGTCACCTCAATCCCTCCTCTCAGAGCCAGAGCACCAGGCCACCCTCAGCCTGCCGGCCAAGAGGTGCTGTGTCTCTCCTGGGGCCCTTGTGTCAAGCTCGATGCCACTGCCTGCATTTCCTTCCCTCAGTCGGCCACCTTGCTTTTCCCAGCAAGTCCCCTTTCTGCTCCAGTGTGACCCCCTATCAAGACCGTCGCAGCAATATTGCTAAGTGGGGTAAACTGCTGTATTATCCTCCTGGCTCAGGCCCCCAAGTGCCCAGATGACAGGCATGTACCACCACCATGCCCAGCTAAATTGCTTAAATGCTCTGTGCCTTGGTTTCCCCATCAGTAAAATAGGGCCTTCCCTCAGAAGGCTGGCATGGGGACTAAATGACCTAACTACCACTTGATGTTCACCACATGCCTGGCACATGTTAAGTGCTACTACTGTGATGCTGAATACACTTGAGAAAATGCTGGCCTTGTGGGCAGGAGGACTAAGGACCTAGGTTTCAGGCAGCTGCACCAGCTGCTTGGTCCCTTCCCTTCTAAAAGCTAGTGAGCCTGGGCATGGTGGCAAAGGCTTGTAATCCCAGATACTCAGAGGCTGAGGCAGGAGGACTCCAAGTTCAGGGCCAGCCAGGGCAACTTAATGAGACCTGTCTCAAAACAAAAATTAAAAGGAGTAGGGGTATAGCTCAGGGGCAAAATGCTTGCCTAGCATGCATCCATCCACAGTACTGCAAAAAAAAATTTGAAAAAACCTTGAGAACTGATGAGACTTGGGCTGGGGATTTAGCTCAGTGGTTCCGTTGCCTGCCTCTCAAGCACAAGGTCCGGAGTTCGATCCCTGGTACCAAAAAAAAAAAAAAAAGAAAGAGAATTGATGAGACTGATAAGGACTGGGCACCTAGCACCCGGAGCCAGGCACAGGAGGAGGCCATTCAAATACTAGGTTTTATATCATTTTCAAGAATCAAAAAAAAGTTTGTAAAAGAGTATTGAACCAAGCCAGGCCTGGTGGCACAGGTCTGTAACCCCAGCACTCTGGGGGTCTGAGGTAGAAGGATCAAAGCTCAAGCCTGGCCTCTGAAATTTAGCCAGACCCTGTCTCAAAATAGATGCCTCTAATCCCAGCACTTGGGAGGCTGAAGCAGGAGGATGGCAAGTTTGAGCCCAGCCTGGGCAACTTATCAACAAAAACACCCTGTGTTAAAACATAAAAAGACTTGGTGATGGAGCCCAGTGGCAGAGCTAGTTCAAGCCTGGCCAGGACTATATGGCAAGACTTTGTCTTTAGGGGAAAGGAAGGGAAAAAAAAAAAGAATTGAGATGTGTTACGTTCATGTACAGCTCTCCTTGATGAATGTAATCATTATGTACTGCAAACGTGCTAATAAAAATTAAGATTTTCCCAGGGATTTAGCTCAGTGGTTTCACCACCTGCTGTGCAAACTCAAGGACCTGAGTTTGATCCCTGGTACCAAAAAAAAAAAAAAAAAAAAAAAAAAGATTTTAAAAAGATCTCAATCTTCTCTTTAAAAAAAAAACAAACAGATTTTACTCAAATAATGATATAGTAAATAAACCAGAAACATAGCCCTTTCATTCATCAGTGTCAACTGTGTGTTTCTGTGAGGTTTTTTTGTTTCTGTGTTTTGTTTGGGGACTTTTTTTTTTTTTTTTTTAAATACTGAGAATTGAACCCAGGCCATCATACATGGTAGGCAAGCCCTCTACCACTGAGCTACATCTCCAGATTTTTTTAAATTTAATTTTTGCAGTACTGGAGATTGAACCCAGGGATGTCCCACTCAACTACATCCCCAGACAGTTTTTGGGTGTTTGGGGGGTTTTTGGGGGGGGGGGGGGTACCGGGAATTGAACTCAGGGCCTCATGCTTAGCAGGCAGGCACTGTACTGCTGATCTACATCCCCAGCCCAGTTTTTGTATTTTTTGAGACAGGCTTTTGCTAAGTGGCTAAATTGGCCAGGCTGGGCTCAAACACAGTCCTCAGGCCCTAGCCTTCCAGAGTCCTGGGATTACAGGCGTCCACCACCATTCCCAGCTCTTTTTATTATTTTGAGACAGGGTCTTACTAAGATCCCCAGGCTGGCCTGGAGCTTGAGATCCTCTTCCCTCAGCCTCCCAAGTAACTGGGATAGTAATCATGTGCCACTTGGCCAAGGTATTCTTTTATACACCCAGCAGCACAGTAGTGTTTACACCAGTGTCACTGCCATGTCAAAGGGGCCACAATGTCATTAGTCATTTGTCAGCTCCATTACAATTTTATGGGACCACCATTGTGTGGTCCTTCACTGATGGAAAAAGTTATGTGGCAGGTGACAGATGCTGCCCATATGCTGCCTGTTTACCTTTGAGAGAGGGGCATGGATGATTACTTCCCAACTCCATCCCACCCCAGTTAATGGGGATGGGGGGACTGGTAAATATCTGTTAAAGGCTTGTAAAGATTCACTAATCCCTCTGGGCACTGTGGCACACATCTGTAATCCCAGCTACTCAGGAGGCTGAAGCAGGAGGGTAGCAAGTATGAGGCCAGCCTGGGCAACTTAGCAAGACCCTGTCCCAAAGTTTTCAAAGGCTGAGGATGTAGCTCAGTGGTAGAACACTGTTGGGTTACTAGCTCACTATTTTTTTTTTTTTTTGATTCTCAGTATTGCAAGAAATTAAAAACTCACCCATCCAAGAACACTTACTCAACTTCATGGAAGAGTGCCTGATTCTAGAATCTCAAAGCCAGTTAAGATAAAAAAAAATTCCACTTTATCCAACGTGATCTACACACATGTGCATGTCCACTGCTCAGGGCACAGCCAGGGTAGGGCAGTCTTGGGACACATTTAGGGCCGAGATAGCCTGGTCCTGCCCTCTTGGGCTCACAGTCCAGTGAGACAGATTCCTTCCCAGACCAGTGGAATGGAGGGTGCAGGGCAGGAAGGAAGGAGCCCAGAGCAGAAGGGATGAGGTTTGCCCACCTGATGGTTTCCAGGAAGGGGGCTCAGGAAGAACCCCTAAGGTAAAATCACCTGTGGGCGCTGGCCAGAATAAAATATGAATCTCCACAGCCACGGAGAGCTTCAGGGAAAGCAGGCCAGTCAAGGGAACAGCCAGCTGCACAGGCCGGGCAAACGCAGAGAGCCACAGCTAGGAGGCTCGTTTGGAGGAGTCCCTGGGCCATGCTGAGAACCTGGCCCTCTGCTGAGTGAGATGGAAGCCACAGGAAGGTTCAGAGAAGAGGTGAGGATCACCAGGCAGAGGATGATGGTGCTTAGGAGGGGTAGGGACAGTGAGCTCGAGAAATGAGAAATGGGGTCCGATTTTGGTGTTTTGAAGGTTAAAAGCCCTCCCTGATGAATGCACCTATAGGCTGAGGAAAAAGTAGTCAAGGGAAACTGCAAGGTTTTTTGCCAGATGGAAGAGGCCAGGATAAATGGGATTTAGGGCTGGTTAAATTATTTTATCTGTCCACTGTTACTTCAATTTAGCTAAGAGCGAAAGCCCCCAGGACCTTCCTGCAACCCAGCTTAATACTTGAGTGTTTTCAGAGAAACATCCTAGTGTCCAGGGTTAGTAACCAATGAAGAATGGATGGGAATTAAATGACTGGCCAAAGAAATATGTTAAATCCCCAGATTAAACAAAATTAAACTGGGCGTGGTAGTGTGTGCGGCTGAGGCAGGGGATGCCAAGTTCAAACTGAGGCTGGGCAATTTAGTATTTTAGTGAGACTCTGTCTCAAAATAAAAGTATTTTTTAAAGGGCTGGGGATATAGCTCAATATGAAAATCTGGGTTTGATCCCCTACTACCGCCAAAAAAAAAAAAAGTGGCCAGTTGAGTACCTTTTTTCTCTACTAAGAAAAAAACAAGAGATATAATCACATCCAGGGCCAGGGATTTAGCTCAGTGGTTCTGCCGCCTGCCTTGAAAGCCCAAGGTCCCAATTTTATCCCCCATACCAAAAAATAAACAAATAAATAATAATAATAATAATATAATCACATCCAAGTAATCCCCACTTTCCTACTGTGGACACGAAGTTGGGAGATGTTGAATCATTTACTGAGTACAGGCTGGTAGTGGCTGGCAAACTAGCTGCTCTGACAAAGGACCAGGGGCTCTCACCCCTCACCAAGGCAGACTTTTTCCACCAGACCTGGGGGAGTCCTTGGAGGTTCTAGAGCCAAAGTGTGACCGATAAGAAACTGGTTTGAGAATGGTCAACAGGGTGTGGCAAAGGAGGACGGATAATTTTAGCCATCCTCCCTGACCTCCAGAGGCCTTAATCCCTTCAGGCTCAAAATCAAGGATCTCCTGGGGCCAGGGATTTAGCTCAGTGGTTCCGACACCTGCCTCGAAAGGGCAAGGACCCAAGTTCGATCCCGGTACCAAATAAAAAAAATCAAGGATTTCCTGCCTAAAGGTTCCAGGAAAAGTGTCCAAACTAATCCGTTAGACAAAAGCCCATCACTCAGGTGGAAGGCAGAGTTAGGGAGTTCATGTCTCCCTACTTAGGGCCTCAGTAGTCACCTTCAAAAGGTAAGAACAGTGGTCGGTGTGGTGGGAAGGCCCATAGCCCATAATCCTAGCAGCCTGGGGCAGCGGGATCACCGTCATTTCGAGGCCAGCCTGGACTACACAATGAGTTCAAGGCCAGCCTGAACTACGAACCTAGAGTCTTTCACAAACAAAACAAAACAAACGGAAAACAGAAAAGAAAATGATAGGGCTGGGGATTTTGCTCCTTGGTTCCACCACGTGCCTTGAAAGCACAAGGTCCCGAGTTCTATCCCTGGTACCAAAAACAAAAAAGTAAAGAAAAGAAAATGATAACAGCTGAAGGAGGTCCTGGGGTCCATTCCTAGTTCCTCAGAAAGGAAAGGAAGAGAACCATTCAGCATCCTGTCATAGCTGCCAGGGAAGGGAACCAACTGAGTTATCTATGAGGTGAAATGCCAAAGTCCCAGACCTAACAAAACAAGGTGCAGATGTATACGTGTATGTATGCACGCGCGCACACACACACACACACACGTGTGGGGGGGTGTCACCCGTCTGGTTGCAGATTAGTGGTAAGGGGCCACCAAAAGGAAGAAAACCCAAAGCATAGATTCTCTCCCCTCCTCTCTGCCCCGAGGCTAGTCAATTTTCTTTCAGTTCTGTACCCGCCACCCGCTGCTCGCCTTTTCTTATACTAAGCAGGTCCTCCCGGCCCCCAGGCGTCCACCTCCACCCCTCCCAGGGCTGGACCCACTTCCCGACTCCCGGATCCCAGGAGCCCGAGAGGGATTCCACCTCGGAGGAGGCGGGGCTGCTGGCTGCCGCCTTCCTCCACAGATCAGCGTGGTCATTGATATTTGCCAGGGAACAGCATTCCGCCCCCCAGGTCGTCCACCCCCCGCGTGGAGCGTCCCCGCAGCCAGCCTTGCAGGCACGGGCCTCCTCTTCCCGCCACTCTTGGGCCTTCGGGGCCGGGAAACCGCTCTTGGCCCGCCTCGGCCGCCCAGTACTCACCGAGGTCCGAAGCTACCCGCGTTCCCACTTCCGTCGGTGCCCCCGCCACACAGGCCCGGGCGGGCAGCGCGCCCTGGAGCCTGGGTTCCGCCTGCGCCGCCACTGCCGCCCCACGTGGTCGCCGGGCGGCTAGCTACTGCTGTGGCCACCGCCGCGCCGGGCTCAGGGCAGCTAGCTAGTTTTCTGGGGACATTTTACAGAGGATGAAACAGGCTGAGAGGGAACGGTGCCCTCGGGCAGCGTTAGGGGCAGTTTGGTCCTCCCCACACAAAAACACTCCTACCCCTCACCGGGAACCCCACCTCTCCCACGTGGAAATTTGAGATCATGCACACTGCAGCCACATGCCAGGAGAAAGGTTTAAACCTGTCCAGTAGAGATGGACAGGAGGCCTGCGATTTTGTCTTCCAGCCCTTCCTGCGGCCACCTTCTACAAAGCCAGAAATTTAGGCCTTGACTGGGGAAGAGGACTCTTGCTGCTCTAGGTGCAGACAACATTCACTTTTTGGAGGGTTCCACTTGGGCAGACCCTGAGGACCTCTGCTTTCCAGAAGATCTCAAGACCCAGGGTCTGACACATAGGTACTGTACTCTGCAAATACCTAAGGAAAAAACCTTCCATGCACAGCAGGTCAATAAAGATTTTTTTGACTTAATCCTTCCCGGAGTAGGGGCTCTATTTGTGAACAAGACAGGCTCCAATCTTGTCCTTACAACTTTTCTCTTAAGGGGACAGGAGTTACAGCAGAGGACATAAATGAAAAAGTACACAGTCAAGATCTTTCAAAACGTGATAAATCAACGTAAACTAGGCGTGATGCCACACGCCTGTAATCCTAGCCCTCAGGAGGTTGAGGCACAGATATCACCATGAGGGCCGGAGATTTAGCTCAGTGGTTCCGCCGCCTGCCTCGAAAGCACAAGGTTCCAAAAAAAAAACAACAAATATCACCATGAGTTTGAGACCAACCTGGGCTACACAAGGAGTTCAAGGCCAGCCTGAACTACATAGTAAGACTGTCTCAAAAACCAAAAATGAATAAATATAAATTGATATAAAAGGAATAAAATAAACCCAGAGCAGTGCCATACACCTATAATCCCAGCTACTGGAGAGGTCAGGCAGGACTGCAAGTTTGAGGCCAGCGTGGACAATTTACCAAGACCCTGCCTCAAAATAAAAAATAAAAACGGCTGAGGATGTAGCTCAGTGGTAGTGCTGCTTGACTAAAGCCTGAGAAAGATTTTGGATTGAATCCCCAGGATGAGGGGGAGGGGATCAAATAAGAGCAATGAGAGTGGGTGGTAGGTTTGGGTGAGTTTAAAATTGGGTGGTCAGAGGAGGACACAAGGAAGAAGCCACCCTGATCAGGTAACTCTAGTTCCAGTGGTCTCCTAGGGTCCTTTAAGAGACAGGGAAACTAAGGTCCAACAGGGAACTGGGGACAGATGGAGGTCATCGAGGGTAATTTGCAAGGCCTTCAGCAGGGTGGGGCTACTTTAGATAGGCTGGTCAGGGAGGCCTCCCGGCTCAGCTACCCAGGACAATTGAGCTGAGACCTGAATAACAATATGAGGAACTCCAGGAGATCAGCATCTGGAATTCACTCAGTGGTGGCGGCAGCAGTGGGCACACCTGGGGGGGGACAGAGGCATGGCCGTAACCTCTGGGATCTTGAATGCAGTGGGTGTGGGGAAACAGTTAACATTTCCACACTGTGGTGCCGCCAGTACCTGGAAGAAGAGAGAACTCAGAAAGCTTTGAGGCTGGGGCAGGGTGTCAATGTCACTTCAAATGGAGTTGCAGACAGGATTTTGGCCAAGTGGAGGCAGGGAGGATGGCTGTGGCCTGTTAGTGGCCAGTCCAGGCTTAGGTAGAAAGTGGATTTGTATGATTACCCCTTCTCTGCCCCAAACCTTCCCAGGGGTCCTGTCAGGAAAATCAAAAGATTTGAAGTGTCTGAAGTGTTCAAAAGAGCCGGGCGTGGTGCCGCATGCCTATGATCCTGGCACTTGTGAGGCTGAGGCAGGAAGATTGCCATGAGTTCAAGGCCAGCCTGGGCTACATAGCAAGACCCTGTCTCAACCACCCCACCCACTCTTGCCCAAAGTGTTCAAAAGAGCCCTCTGGATGTGCCCCTATTTCTCTTTCTGTTCTGGCGATGATGGAATTTAGGAACCCAGGGTCTTTGCACTGGGCTACATCCCCAGCCCTTGTAGGGTCTAAGTGGCTGGGCCCAATCCTTTTTTTTTTTTTTTTTTTTTGGTACAGGGGATCAAACTCACAACCTTGTGCTGCAACACCACTAAGCTAAATCCCCAATCCATGGGCCCAATCTTGCTATCCTACCTCAGCCTCCCACAGCCCTGGGGTTATAGGCAGCACCACCTCGACCAGCTTTTCCTTTTTTTCCACTACACTCATTCCCCCACCCCCATAAAGGGACGCACCCCGAGGCCTTTTCTTCTGCAATGCCCAGAGCACCTTGGCTGGCTCCCTCAGGTTTCAGCTCTGCCCAGTCCTTAGCAGACATTGGGAAAAATTGAAGCGCCAAATCCGGGAGTGGTGGGGCACGCCTGTAATCCCAGCATATGGGCGATTGAGGTAGGAGGATAGCATGAGCTCAAGGCCAGCCTCGGCTACATAGGAAAATTGAAATACGGAACATTATCCCCTTCCTAGGTTTATTTTGCTCCACCGCACGGGTGATCATAACGGGAACGCCCATCTTAGAGTTACCTTGGCTGCAGTCTGTCCCCCGCAATATAAACCCCGTGAGCACTGGGCTATCGCGTGGTTTCTTCACAGCTGTGGCCGCAGTGCATAGAACAGAGCCTTGCGCAAAGTAGTTCAACAAACAGTTCCTGGATAAATTTTACTTGAAATAATAAGTATGGGGGCGGGGGGGCTTTTGCACTGAACTATATATCTCCAGCATCTTTTTTTTTAGCTAAATCCTCGGCTTTCTCCAGCACCTTTTTACTTATTTTGAGACAAGGTCTCGATAAGTCGCTAAATTCCCCAGACTGGACTGCAATCCTTCTACCTCAACCTCTCAGAGTACGACATGCTCCACCAAGGCCAGCATGTCATACATTTAATGAAATAGTCCAGATTATTAAGTGCTTAGTAAGAAAGGGGTCCTACGATGTCTCGGGGTGCGTGTGAGCATCCTGTGCCTCAGTTTCACCAGACCTAAAATGGCCTAAGCCTGGTTGTGTGAATTTAGAGCTATCAGGTTTCGGCAGTGCGCAGGGTTTATAGATTGAGTTCGGCGGGAGGGCGGCCTGGCTCCTGCGGGGCCGCCCCGTCCTCTCCGCCAGGCCCCGCCCTAGTGGGCGGAGCTCCTCCTGGCCAGCACGTGTAAAAGTTCGCCGCGGGTAGCCGCAGCCACTCACCTGAGCGCCTCGCTCTGAGCGCTCACTTCCCCGCGTCCTCCGATCGCGCGTCCTCCGCTCGCCCGGCCGCCTGCCCTCCCGCCCGGCCCACGACTCATGTCCCGCCGCAAGGCCGGCAGCGCGCCCCGCCGAGTCGAGCCCGCGCCCGCCGCCAACCCAGACAACGAGGAGATGGAGATGTCGGACCTCGTCATCGATGTGAAGCTGGAGCCGGACGCGCGGGCCCTGCGGGCCCCGAAGGAGGTGTCCGCGCTGGGACGCTTCGGGGGCGAACCCCGCCACTCGCTTGGCCCCGTGCCTGCCGGGGCCGCTCTCCACGTCCTGGGCGCGCCCAGTCCGAGGGCCCTGTGCGTGCCGCTGACCTCTAGCCTTGCCGGTGAGCTCCCGCGTCCCTGCCCTTGCCCCGGGGCCTGGGGCCAGCTTCCCCTCCCCGGGACCCTCAGGTGAGATCCCCTCCCTTGGGTGTGTACCCCAGAGCCTGCCTTCAGTCCCTCGCCCTGTCCTGGCCCGAGCCTCCCCACTCCTGACCTTAGGGTTTCCGACTCTCTTCTCGAAACCCCCAGCCCCCAACCTGGCCCCACCCCAGCTCACCGCCGCTTCCTCCCTGCAGACCGCCAGCTCTGGACCGACAAACACCCAGATCTGCTGACCTGCGGCCGCTGCCTGCAGACCTTCCCGCTGGAGGCCATCACTGCCTTTATGGACCACAAGAAGCAGGGCTGTCAGCCCTCTAGAGGCCTCGGCCCCAGCAACGGTTCAGGTGAGTGAGGCCGCGGGCCGTCTCCTTCTCAAGTTCAAGGGCTGGGCTTCCTGCGGCAGAAGGGGCTGAGCTGGACAGGCAGGGCAACGAGCACTACTTCCCCTTTCTCCCCTTCGGGTGTAGCCTAGGCGTGACCAGGGCTTGCCAGTCGCGGGGCTGGGACGAGATGGGGAGGGGTCGGGGGCCGGGGGCGGAGGCTGGGCCGGCAAGGAGGTGGCCTGCAGGGTGTGGCCAGCCCCAGAAAACTGGCCTAGGGATTTGCCTCACCCCCCCCCCAATCTGGTTTCACTTCTCCTTCCCTTTGGACAGAAATAACTGGCCAGGTGGCTGGACTAGGGGGGCAGTGAGGGGGACCCGGGAGGGATGGCAGAGTGGGGGAGGGGGCTAGAGGCCAGCTGGAAGCCGGGGTTGCCACCCCCTCCCAGCTCTTCATCACCCTGATAGAGGGGCTGGTCCACTTCTGGGCCAGGGAAGGAGCCCAGGCCCGCTGCCTTGGTGGAATCTCCCAGCCCTCCGTGCGGGAAGCCCCTGGTTTGAGCCTGTCTGGGGTGCTGGACACCTGGAATCCTTCTCTTGGAATTTAAGCCCTGAACTGTGCTGGATGCACAGTGTGAAATTCTAAGCCTTGGCTGTGGGACTTATCCAAACCTGTGAACTTCCAGCCCCCAACCCATACCCTCTGGGGATTGGGAAGTGGGATTATGTCCTGGGCAGAGCCAGGAGGGTCCCTCCCCCTGTGGGAAAGGGGAGGGACTGTAATGGAATCGGATTTAGTTTGAGGCGGGGAGGGTGTCTGGTGGGTGGGGTGGGTGTCCGGTGGGTGGGGTTTGATGGAACCGCTGAAGGGGACGCTCCAACTCCAGTACTTGGAATTGTGGGCCCCTTGCTCTGTAAGCTCAGTTCAGGCTTGTTGAGGGCTTACGAGGACCCAAGCTCTCAGCTGTTCCCTATTTGAGGTCACAACTATCTTGGAAAGGAGGGGACCCTCTGGGATCCCCATATTCTAGCAGCTGAGATCACTTTTACCCAGGGTCACACTCAGGGAGCAGGGGGTCCGAGTTTGTCGCAGGCCAGGCTGACCTTCCCTGGCCTCTCCCTGTGCTCTTGACCTTGATCTTGGTTGCTTTTGCAGCCTGAAGACCACCCCATTGGAGACTGGCTAGGATTTGAAAATCCAAAGGCAAATGGAACCCGGCCCTACCCCCTTGGGATTCCTGCAGAGGCTGGGGGCCTAGGTCACTATTTTGACCCTTCCGCACCCAGACCTTGGCCTCTTTTGCAAAGTGGGAAAATTGAAACAATTGTGGAGTCCCTGAGCATGAGGCTTGGCACAGAAAACCACCTAGTAGTTGAGAGGTGGTTTTCCTTTTTTTTTTTTTCTTTTGGTTTTTTGAAACAGGGTCTCACTTCGTAGTTCAGGCTGGCACTGAACTCACTGTGTAGCCCAGGCTCGCCTCGAATTCTTGGCGCTCCTCCTGCCTCAGCCTCCCGAATGCTGGGATTACAGATGTGCGCCACCACCACACCTGGTGAAGTATTTTTAAAAGCTACTGCTCTGCACCCCCATGGTCCCCAGGTTTCTGAATGGAAGCCCCAGTTCCAGCCTCCAAGCTATGTGGGGTTGGAAATGCCTCTGCCTATGCTTTGGGGGTCTTGTTTCCTCACCTGAGGGAGTGGAGACCTGGCACAGTACCTAGGAAGCACTCCTTGAATTTAGTCACTGTTTTCTGGTAAGCTAGGCATACAACCCAAGGCCTCGTATGCTAGACAAGAGCTCCACCCTAGCCCTTGGTCGCCTCTTCTGCAAGGACCTCCTGACCCCTCTCCTCTGGCCCTTTTTTTTTTTTTGAGACTGGGCCTCACCATATAGTTCAGGCTGGCTTTGACTGCACTGTGGAGCCCTGGCTGGCCTTGAACTCATGGTAATCCTCCTGCTTCAGCCTCCCAAGTGCTTGGATCACAGGTGTGCACCATGCCTGGCTTGTCCCTCACTCTTGTTTTTTGGTACCAGGGATCGAACTCGGGACCTTGCGCTTGTGAGGCAGGCGCTGGAACCAGAGCTAAATCCCCGGCCCCTTGTCCCTCACTCTTAACATAGCATTTTGTTTTTTATCTTCAATTTTCAAATACAGAATCCTTGTACTCAGCTGATTTTCCTTGCTTCAGGAAGCATGGTGTTTTGTCTACCACTTCTGGAGCACAGCCTATCCCCACAAAGGGCCTGGGACCAGAAGCCCCCCTCTCCTAGCACTAACCCCCTGCACCTCTCTCTTGGCCCTAGAACCCAAGGAGCTGGCGATGTTGAGCTGCCTCCACTGCGGCAGACAGTTCACAGGGGCCTGGAAGCTGCTGCGTCACGCCCAGTGGGACCATGGGCTGTCCATCTACCAGACCGAGTCAGAGGCCCCCGAGGCCCCGCTGCTGGGCCTGGCTGAGGTGGCTGCAGCCGTGTCTGCCGTGTCTGCCATGGCGGCTGTGGGACCACCAGTTGAGGCCAAGAGCTCCCACCTCAGTGGCCCCAGCCGGCGGAGCCCCATCTGCCTGGTGTGCAAGAAGACTCTCAGTTCCTTCAGCAACCTCAAGGTGCACATGCGCTCTCACACGGGCGAGCGGCCCTATGCCTGCGACCAGTGTCCCTACGCCTGCGCCCAGAGCAGCAAGCTCAACCGCCACAAGAAGACCCACCGGCAGCTGCCACCCCAGAGCCCCTGCATGGCCGATGCCAGCCAGGAGCAGGTCTCCACAGCACCCCCAGAGCCAGCTGCCCATGCTGCCGCCCCAGCCAGCACCCTTCCATGCAGCAGAAGTAGTGAGGGTGCTGGAGCTGCAGCCACAGCGGGCATCCAGGAGCCAGGGGCTCCTGGCAGTGGGGCTCAGGCAGGCCCAGGGTGGGGTGGCTGGGGAGTAGTCAGCAAAGGACAGAGAACTGACCCTTCAAAGAACCAGAAGACCTCGCCCAAAAAGACGCCCAAGGCTGCAGGCAAGAGCCGTGGGCCTGGGGGCAGCTGTGAGTTCTGCGGGAAGCACTTTGCCAACAGCAGCAACCTGACCGTGCACCGGCGCTCGCACACAGGCGAGCGGCCCTACGCCTGTGACCAGTGTCCCTACGCCTGCACCCAGAGCAGCAAGCTCAACCGCCACCGCCGCATGCACGGCCTGGAGCCCGGCAGCACCCGTTTTAAGTGCCCACACTGCTGTGTGCCCTTCGGCCTGCGAGCCACCCTGGACAAACACCTACGGCAGAAGCACCCCGAGCTGGGCGAGGTGGCCTGAGCACAAGGAGACTGTCTGTCCCTCACACTGTAGTCAGTGGTTGTGTTGATCTCATCCTCATCCTTGTGCAAATAAATGTCCTCCCCTATTTACCCACGTGCCTGGACTCTAACTTTCTTGGGGTGTCAACGGGGCAGGAGGCTTCACCTTAGGTGGACGCTGGACAGACCGGTTTGGAGTGGCGGGTGAAGGGAAAGGCCAGCCCCATTGCCTGGGGCTCAGCAGGGCTGGCACAGAAAGCCGAGTTCCCGGTTCCCGTTGTGGGTGAGGCCAGGGCAAGGGCCAGGCGAGGGTGGGGAGCAGCCTGGACCTGTCGCCGGAGGCCCCTGGGCACAGTCCCGGCCCACCCTGTCCACATGTATGGGCAGGTCTGGGCCCTTTCCCACTGGATCAGGCCCCCTCCCTGCTAAGCAGGCTTCACCAGGCTTCAGCGGGGTGTGCGACCCATGGTGGTTCTGGCTGAGGTGGCTGCAGCGACACTGACAACTGTCCTGTAAGCCCAAGTCCCCCATAGCTGGTGGGCAGAGGTCTGAGGGCCACACCAGGCACAAAAGGACAGAGGCCAGGTAAAGAGCATTAAATAACATCTTCTTTATTTCGCTAGAGAAACCAGCATTGCAGCTTGAGCCTTGGACCCTGCCCCTGTCCCTGCCCCACTCCTGCCTAATGTCGGTAATGGGGGCTTCGGGACCGGGACCTCGAGCGCCTGCAGAGAGAAGGTCGCCATGAGTACCAAAACACACGCCCCCAGCCACTGGGCTTCTGGGCTTCTGGGCTTCCGGGACTCCAGATGGGGGGAGGGCTGTGGAGGATGGAGGGAGTGGGGCCAGGACCTCCCACCCAAGAGAAAGGCAGTCAGCAGGGAGAGGGTCCCTGGAGCCAGACTGGCTGCTCACCTTCGGGAGGAGCTGTATTCTCGACCTAGAAAGGAAAGGAGGGCAGGTGAAGGAAAGCCACTCCCAGGGCCCGGGCTGCTCCTGACCTGAGTGGGCTCCCTGAGGTGACACCAATACTTCCGGAGTCTGCTGTCTCCCTCACCAGCCTGACAGTGTGCTGGGGATGAGCAATTCTCACTCCCGTAGCTTCCTCGGGACTGAAACAATCAGTACTTGTGTGTTTGTGTGTACCTCAAAAGCCTTAACTTATGCAAAGCTAAGGCTGAAAATGTACGGTTTTTGGTGAACCTGTATGGTGCCCTTTCCCCCCTGCCCAGGGTCCCACTCTTGCCCGGGCGGCTTCAAAGCCCTGGACTCCATGCTCCTCCTGCCTCCATGTGCTCCGCCTCTCTCCATGGCCCACGGAGCCCCACAGCAGCCAGAACACTCACTGTAACGGGGCGAGGGTGAGCGGCTCTGGCGGCTGTACTGGCGTTCCCACTCCTCTCGCTCCTTCTCTCTGCGTTCCCGCTCCCTGCAGGGGGAAAGGGGAGGCAACCAGGGGAGGGGTGAGCACCTGCGGGAACCAGAACGTGCTCAGACATGAGTCCAGCAGAGCAGAGATCAAGGGGCACATACGTTGCCCCCACCCCAGGCACCGGCTGGCAGAGCTGGGACTGGAGTCCAGTGTGCCCTGCCAGCAAAGCCTCGAGGATGAACCTGAGGGACAGCTGGATGGTTCTAACACTTCCTGTCACATCTTGGGGACCTGCACGCGCTAGGCAGCCAGGATTGGCAACCCCAATGGTAGCTTTCATTGGCTGCCGTCCCTGCACCTGGCCTTGAGTGCTGGCGGATTCTCCCAACAATCACATGAGCAGGATGGGTTCCATCCCCGCAAGGAGGCAGGCAAACTGAGGCTCAGGACAAAGGACCACAGTGGCAGGTGGCAGAGCCAGGGTCAGATGCCAAACAAGTCTCGAGCCACTCTCTCCGCCCTCAGATGGCAGCACGAGCATCCTCTGAAGCCTCACAACACGGCGGGCGTGTGATCAATGACAAAAGCAGGGACAGGGCAGCCTGGGCACCAGGCCTTCTTCCCACACACCAGGTGCCCGCTGAGCTTAACAGCCAATCCTGCAGAGGCGGCGCCAGTGCAATCACCTCTGGGGCACACAGGAAGGAGCCCCCGCCCAGATAGGGTAACGCACCTGTCCAGGGGCACACAGCAGAGCAGGGGAACGAGAACCCATTCAGACACACGACCTGCCCGCCTGACCCCTTCCTGGCCCGCAGAGCCACAGCCCCCAGCGCTGCCGGCAGCCCCAGTGCCCAGTGAGGAGCACTGAGGACTGTCCCACTTCCCAAGGGCCACATGATCAGTGGGACTGAACCCCAAGTCTGTGTGACCTGGGCTCCGAGCCCTTGACCACCACTCCACATGCAATGGGAGAAAGGAAGAAGGCAGAGGGGACAAGAAGAAAAAAGGCCCTGTCCCCAGGACTGGCTTAAATTCACTCAACAAACATTTCTCTCAAGCCACAGGTCTCGAGGACACAGCTGCCAGACCTAATGTTTTCTGTTTTGTTTTGTTTTTTTCATACCGGGGATCAAACTCGGGTCCTTGTGAGGCAGGCAACAGAACCAATGAGCTAAATCCCCGGCCCCAGACCTAATGTTTTAGTGGAGACACACAGTTAAGGGAGCCAACAACCACAAAGCTCATACCGGTGGTGGGAGGCCAGGACTAGACAGAGAAAGAAGGCAGCAGGGTGCGGGGCAGAATTTGGGGGTGCTTCTCTGGACAGGACGGTCAGGGAATGCTCCTGAGTGGGGGCTGCCAAGAGGACAGCCCAGCACAAGCTTGGCTGGGGGACCCCAGCTGCCTGGGGGCCAGGTCGGGCTCTAGCCAGCCACGGGGGAGGATGGGACTCCGACAGACAAGAGAGCAGCAGGGAGCCTTACTTCATCCGGATCTTGCGGGCCATGGCTCGAAGCTCATCTTCCCGCTCCTGCAGCAGAGGCAGCCATGAGGTGTGGCCCAGCCAGAAGCTGCGGGATAGTCCCATCCCATCTCCCCCCCACCCCCGTGCCCTCCCTCCCTGACCTGCCGCTCATGCTCTTGCTGTATCATCTTCTCCTGAGCTGCCTTCTTATCCGCCTTGACTGTGGAGGGAAGGCACATGGCTGAGGGTGGCCTTGAATGCCGCTTCCCACCCTACAGGCTGAGTAGCCAGCCAGACTGGTAGCAGGGCACAACCCTCCTCCCCAGTGTGGCCCCCAGGGACCCCCAGGCCTCAGGAGGGCCTGGGGACAGGGGTGGGACATACACTGCCTGTTCAGCGCCTTCTGCATTCTCAGCTTTAGCCTCTCTTGTGGTGTCAGCTTGGGCTGGGGAGGGGGAAGAGACAGGAGGAGGTGGGTGTCCCGGAGCTCCCCTGGCACACCTCAGCCAAGAGCCTGGGACTTGCAGGAAGGGGAGGAGGATGTGAGGCTCTGAGAGGCTTGGGACAGCCGCAGTCCGGCGCGCAGGAGGCAGGGAGGACACGCTCTCGGGGCAGCCCCTCCTCTCCCCTGCAGTATCAATCCCTGGGGCTGGATCCCAGCCCACCCGGGCCCCCCTGCAGGCCCACCAGGCCCAGCTCTTGGGCACTGCTGCTGCGGGAATTAGACGGGCGAGTTCCAAATTCTTACTGACTTTGGCAGCTCCTGTCTCTTTACCAGCGGCAGGTTCGGTCCTGGGTGGGAGGAAAAGGCAGTTGTCACCTCTGACCCCAGTCTCTGCACTGCCCTCGGATGCCCCAGGGATGCCCCAGGGAGTAATCTTGTCCCTCTCAGGCCCCTCAGGCAGCTCCATCCACAGCGCCCTGCCTCTGAAGCAGGGCCTGACCTCCCGCCTAAGACGAGGCCAGACTGCAGCCACTCCAGGACACAGCGCCTCTGAAGAGTCCAGGATCCCCTCCCTCCCTGAGCCTGACAACCCTTGATCCAATCCGAACGACCTGAACCCAAAGCCCCGGCTCCTGCTCACTTTTTCAGCTTCTCGCCCACAGCAGGGGACGCTGCCGGCCGGGCCAGCTTCTCCCTTGGGGGCGATGGTGAGTGACTCTGACTGCGGCTGTGGCTTCGACTGCGACTGCGACTGCGACTGTGACTGTGGCTGCGGCTGCGGCTCCGGCTCTGGCTGGGGCTGCAGCTATGGGTGAGGCTGCGGCTTCGGGATGGGCTGAGGGACCAGCTGCTGCGGCTGCGGCTGCTGCTGTGGTGCCTGGGGCCCCGGCCGCCACGTCGGTATCGTTCCCCCGAGCGGGAGCGGCTCCTGAGGTGCGGCAGGGCAGAAGGGGCAGTGAGGTCCCGGGGACCAGCAGCATGCTCTGACGCCCACCTCCCTGCCCTCCTCACTGCACAGCGGATGCCACCTTCCCGGGAGGCCACCTCTGGCGGCAGGACTTGGCTGGCCGGCCAGCTGCCCCTTCCCACGCCATGCCCAGCCCCAGGCACACAGAAGTATTCCAGGTGCCCTCACCCTCACCTTGCCACCGCCCAGGTTCTCCACGCTGGAGGGACCACCCTGCCCTCACCAGATCCACGTGTGGTGCACATGCAGCCCCATTGTCTCCCCACTCAGGACACTGGGGGCCCCCAAGCACAGCCTGGCCAGGCGGCCCCCCCTCAGACTTTCCCTTATCCCCACTTTGGTCAGGCTACAGGGAACAAGTTGGAAGCCCATTCTGGGCTGTACACTGACTGCCCAAGCCATCTTGGGTTTTCATAAAACTATTCTGTTGTCAATACTGACAAGGTAAGAGGTGCACTTTAAAACAGACTCTCAACTGGCATAGTGGTACACACCTATAATCCCAGCGACTGGGAGGCTGAGGCAGGAGGATCCTGAGTTGGAGACCAGCCTGAGCCACACAGCAAGTTCAAAGCCACCCAGGGGTTACATAGCAGGACCCCACCTTACTCCAGACTTTCAACTTCCCTTGAGAAAATGGAAGGCTAGGGAGCAACAGTTCGGATGCTGGGTAGTCACACCCACCTGGGGAATATGCTGCCACTGCACTGGGGCACCTGGCCCTCCACCTGCCAGCTAAAACCGCAACCCACACCAGAACACAGATGACAGTAAGAGGACCCGCCCTGCCCAGGGCCAGGCCTTCCTCCACAGCAGTTACTTGTCCCACCCTCACGGACTCCGAGAGCTGAGCACTGTGAC